TCTCAACGGACGGCGGTTGAGCTCTGGCGCGGAGGCGCGTGAGGGCTCAAGACCCAGTTTCTGCAGAAATACCGAGGGTGTTTTTGAAATCCGAAGGGGGTCATTTTTTCATGTCTGTCCGATTCAGCATTGTACCTATTTCAGGGATTCGGGGAGTCCTGATTCAAAAAAGGTGAATAGTGGTCATAGAGAGAGGACCTTGACCACACCTGTTGCCCAAACAGCGGCCAACATAGCAGTAGTAGTGAGCTCCTACGCAGTGCGTTCTGAGCCGTATTGACCTGCGTATGTACGAGACACTTTTACGCCCAATATCGCTCTGCGACGGCGCGGGGGAATGAACCAAATACAGCGGTTTTGTTGTCGCCGCCTACGAGCGATGGTCGCCACCACCAGCCCAAAACGAGTGGTCGCAGAACGGGCTCACTACATGCCGCATGCACTGATCGAACTTTTGGCGGTTGCTCCATCGGTGACCAGTCCAAAACGAGTTGGCCGCAGACGGGCCGAAAACATGTACGGGTGGCTTTCTGTGGCCTGTGTACAACTTCCCATCCTTCATGCGGAAGATAGAAACAAACATCACTACTATCTGCATACATACAACGTCTCATACATGCAAGTGGGTTTCTCCAGATGTACTTGGTGTTGAGCTGACAGGTCCTCTCACTTTTCCTGTCGTTTAGGACGCCCTGAGGACAACTACTCTCTTCCCTCTCCCTGTTGCTCCATTCTTCAGTACTCTCTCTACTTCTCTGTCTTACCTCAAGATCTGCTCGTGTGGCGCCCTGTGCGTTCTTCGCGAATTGAGAAAGGGTGGCGGTGTGGCGGTGTTGTGGGGTGGCGCGCGGCACAAACGGAAAATGATATATTTTTTATTTTTTATTACTTCAACAACATGACAAAAATTCATCTCTTCCATTTGCATTTGAATGGGTAGTCTTTCTGTGTGTGTGTGTGTTTTTTTTTTTTTTTCTTAATATGACACAACGAAACCATCTCTATCATAGAACAGAGTCTGAGACTTTTATTCCTTAATTTGTTATTCTGGTACTTCCTGCTTCTTTGTACAGATGCTGTATTTTCGTATTTTCCGCCCGCAGCTTGAAGGTAATCACTATTAGCACTAGTTCGTGTGTACACAGAGGGAAGAGAGTGCTGAACTCTTCTCGCATTAAAAATCGAAGACAAAGTACCGCAGGAGGGGAGGGTAGAGAGGCGCTCTTCTGTGTGACCACGGGTTGGAGTAAACGGCACTAGTAGTGCTGTGAGCGCTGATTTGAAGTGAAGACAAAAAAAAAAAACTTTGAATAAATGCCGGTTGCCTGGTACCTAAATGCCGGTCGGTGAAATCGGCTGGATCGCACCCGGCATTCTACCGGGACCACACTACTACATACTGCTGCTGCCGTATCGGGAAACCACGTATATCCCTACATACACCAGACCAACAAAATCGAGATCTTCACTGCTATAACGCTTGTGGCACGCAATGACAGAGCCGAGGACAAAGAATCGCGCTACAAGAGGGCAACGTTGCCTATATAAAATAAGACGGTCAGGATTGCCCCCACGAAATAAATGTATTCATGATGACCACGGGTGAGTGAATCGCTGGAACGTTTAGTTCCAATATAGCGCAGCCCGGGTCGAAGTAACACTTGCAATGACCTACACAAACACAACTACACAACACATATGCTTTGGAATCTGGAATGCGAAACACACCGACCGTAGAAACGCGACATTCACGACCAGATTGTGAATTTTCTCTTTATCGCACTCTTTTCGAGATCCAACGCACGTGTGGTGGAGTAGACCGGTGCACTCCCACGAGCCCCGCAGGCCACGGCGCGAGCTTGGGCAGAAATGCCTTTCCCTAAAACTGCACCTCTACATTCTGCCTCATCTCTCTCTCTCTCTCTCTCTCTCTCTCTCTCTCTCTCTCTCTCTCTCTCTCTCTCGTAGTATGTCGTTGCAGCGTCGCACCCACCTCTTTTCACCAAATAATTGATTTTACTACGTACGCCGAAGAATTGGCGTTTCTTCAGTCTCTCAGCTGTCCAGCCTTTCTGATTCGCTTGTCTTTCGCTTGTCGGCACGGATGCCGGTTCGTTTGCCGTGATGGTTGTTGGTGTGCTTGTCGGCTATGTTTGTGTCGGCATGACGCTAGTTACTTGTTGGTTTGGATTGTTGGTTCACATGTGTCCGTAGGAGCTACTTGTTTATTGTGTGGAACAACACCACCCCGCACAGGTTCTCGAAATTTCGAAATTTCCTGCATCTACAAGTGCAGGCAGGTACACAAATATGTAGTACCACCATGGTCTTTGTTTTTCGGCTTCAGCTTACGCCTTTGATCGCCACAAATGTACGATCGCCTACTTGTACGCCAACAATAATAACCAAGCCTTCACTGCTGCACCGCTTGTGGCACGCGACGACAGTCAAGACAGCGATACACGCTACCATTACTAGGGCTACGTTGCCATTTTAGGCGGGCGGGACTGGCGCCAAAAAAATTGCACTACATACAATACTGTGCATGACCGTCGGTGAGTGAATCAATCGTATTTTTCCGATAGCGCACGCCCGGGTGGGAATACGACACTGCCACGCATGCACAAAACACATTGTTTGGGATTTTGAGATGCGTAACCACGGCGTAGCGAAGAGACCCTCACAACCTATCATACTCCACCGCGTTCGGAGTCGCGCACCACACCCCGCCACCGTATGTATGCTGCTGCAGCCAGGACCGAGCGGTCGCCAAATTCGAGGTCGCCCACGGCCGGCCATGCCAACCGCACCGACCTACATTCGATGACGGGTATTCTCCGCGTACCAGGGGAGCTACAGAAGAGCGAGAGCCTCAGTGCGACGATCAGTCGTTTAAACCAAATGCAGACTACACCCCTTCACCGACGTCGCGGCGCGAGAGCTATGTAGTGTTCTGCTGCAAACGCAGACAACGCGGTCCCAGTCGCGACGTAAACAGTGCCGGCCTCCAACACGTAACCAAGCCGCTACGGAAAAAAAAAGGAAAGAGAAACTAAACATTATTAAAGCGTTCAACAAGAGTTCGCGTTCAGGTGCACACTCGAAGGAGTGGCAACACCAGTCGAGGACATGCAGGACGCCAGTATATCCGTAAAGGCGGGCCGGGGGGAAAAGATGGACGGAAAATTGAAAATTCCCGTCTTGGGTAGAAAACAATGACAGGAATCAAGTTACTCGCCACGACCCCCGCCACAAACACACAAGTTGCTTTCCCTGCATACACCAACAAGCACACGACGCAACGGGAGACTGGGCAGGTCGCTACTTCGATACCGTGTCCAGCTCTTGGTGCATACAGCTATGTACTTAATACACCCTAACGACATCACCCGCCCCCACACCAATAATGATGGTATCATACCCGTCAAGATACCCCCAAAAATCAAAACAGCCTTCCTTCTAGTTCGACGCTCTCCGCACGCTGTCGCACATATTTACAGCGCGAACGCTCGCTTGCTATCGCTATCATTACCGCCACCACTAACACCGCTATCTATTCCGCCTACAGGTACCGCATGGGGGACCCCGTTAAAATAATCCCGATATTTTCTCGAGGAGGGCGGGGGCGTATGCTCCATGAACACTCGTTCCCTTAGAATAAACAGGGCCAGAGAAGGGTAGGGGGTAAAAAAAGCTAAAAAGCGGGGCGATCATCAAAATTTTACAGGAATATACCCTTTTGCCCCTCGCCGGCGCTGTGTTTCTCCGGAAGAGGGGTGCCAGCCTGTTTGTTTGGCCTCCGCCGAAGGTTCAAGCCAGAGGAAAAAGCGTTCCATCTTTCCCAAAACACCAACCAATCCCCCTCCGCCCTGCATGGCACCGCGGGGAAAGGACAACGACGCCGCAGGAAGGGAGACCCTTCCCTCCCTCCTTCTCTCCCTCCCTCCCTCCCTCCCTCCCCCCTTCCCTCTCTTTGTCGGGATGAACACGATGATACCGAAGCGATGACGACCAAGAACCTTAGACTACAAGACATCCTCAACAAGCCCCCCCCCCCGTCGCCCGAACACCAAAACCCCCCACCCAAGACGACCGTTCGAACCACCAAAAAGAGTGGACCGTTAGAATACCACTACTTCAAAAAGGGGGGCCCATGCCGTCACCAGGGCAAGCAAAGAGAGTACCCACGTGCCTGCAAATTCATCTTTCCTGCGCACTGATTACCGCCCACGCCTACCTCTAGAAAACCCTTCGAGCCCCCAACTACATACCGCTACTCCCCCCGCATGGCACAGGCAAGGACGATGACCAGCTTCTGGTTCATCGTGGCCTGGGCAGGAGAAAACCCGGCATTTCGCTCCGTCCCGGCGTTGGGGGGATGCGAGGTCAACGGTCTAGAGGCTACGGCGTGCGTTCACATTAGTGCACCCCCCCACCCCCCCCGCCGCCGCCCCGACCCCTGCCACTCCTCTTATCCCGCCTCAAAACTCTTGCCAACACTGTCGCAAGACGACATTGCCAAACGCCTGCTGTGCTGCGGTACGAGGACCAAACTCTGGTGCTATGTAAAGCCTCTAAATTCGAAGGATAAAAAGAAAAACAAACCCACGGTTTCTCTCACAATCACATCCACAAATGTTCCCGGAGTAGCATTAATATCCCATGCCGGTGTGTAGCACGTTCGTTACCAAGAATGGCACCGTCGTGTGGCATATAGCAACGACACCGTTTACTGTTCCTCGTTCCGTTCAATTATTCCGCTTTCCCGCCGTGCTAATCCCGGCATACCCAATGAACCGTGATTCGGAGTACCGCCCGCGGATTCAGTCAACCCTCATCGCCCCCCCCCCCCCGGGTACAAGTTAATTGCGGAATCCGAACCATGCGCAAATCCGCGATGGAACAGAAATATGTTCACACTTTGCGGCACAACCCCCTCGCCACCTGAAACCGTACACAGAAAAAACTCAACCAAAAATATCCCGCCAAGTCTTGTTCGCCTACCGATCCATCTTGTCCGAGAAATACTCCACCGCGGGCACCTGGAGGGAAAAACAAACACACACAGAGAGACCAATAACGCGCGACGTTGCATCCAGGGAAGAGGTGGGACAGGTTTAAGGTCCGGAACATAAGCCAAGCCATCTAACGGAGGGGGTGGGTACTCATGTTTTGCGTGCCTTAGCTGTTTGACTATCTATTGACCACGCGTGCTCCAGAGGGACGGCGCATTGTTCCTTCCCACAGAACCAGGTATAAAATTCTTAGTTCCTAGGGAAGGCAGTATATGCACTACGGAGTACCACAGCCCGTGAAAAAAACTTTCCGGTACGTCCTCTTGCGTCACCCTCAGGAGGCTAGACACCAAGGGGGGGGGGGGGGGGGGGGGTGTACTCATAGTCGTGCATGCCGTAGTCATTAGACCATTGACCTCGCATCCCTACAAAGCCGGGACGGAGCACGCCGGGTTCTCACCGGACCAGGCTCTCACATCACCAAGCGCGAAGCACCGTGAGGTATTCGGCGAGTCGCATGAAGGGTGAGCTGCATCCTGCTAAGGGTGTTCGGCATCTTGTGCTTACTTCCTTGCGTACGGATGACAGCTACGTATGACTTAATTTATTTTCTGGTGCTATCACTTCCAGAGACAGTTGTAAGCACTGTGTAACTGCCTCGAGGGTGCTTGACCATTTTAACACAACGTGGTGCGATCATCCCCCGTTGCGCGGAGTGAGGGTCCTCCACCCCGCACAACATGATCTACTCGACCACCATTATGGTTACCGCCAAAAAAAAAAAAACGAGGTAAAAAAAAAAAAACGGTAACCTGGTTGCCGAGTTCACGAAGTGAATTGGCTTGTTTTACAACGTCGTTGCCAAGCGACGAAAACCCAATCCCGATGGCAAACACCGAGCGGGGGGCTCGTTTTACAACGTCGTTGCCAAGCGACGAAAACCCAACCCCGATGGTAAACACCGGGGGGGGCGGCTTGTTTTACAACGTCGTTGCCAAGCGACGAAAACCCAAACCCCGATGGCAAACAAGGCCGAGGGGGGCGGGGGAGGGGGGGGGGTTAAGACTATGATGTAAGTACGGGCCGCATTCGCGAGAAACTAAGTTAATGAGGCAATAAAGCAGAGAGGGGGTACGCAGACCCTACCCCTAATCCTACCACAACTGTCCCGATTGCATGCTTTATCCAACATGTTTACAATACTTCATACAAAAAACCCTGCCAAGGCTACTGTACCGATAAATACCTGATTGCCCAGGCAAGCGATGTCCAAAGGGCTACATTGCCGTTCGTCCAGCGAGAGCACGTCAGCGCCGTTCTGGATAAGGAACTCGCAGCACCTACACATGTAACGAGCAAAACGAGCAAAACAAGAAGAAAAAAAAAACGGAACATGAAAGACAAGCCGCACTCCCGGAACAGGTTACTAACCAAACCAAAACTGAACATAACACGCGCCAACGTCACCCACGTTGCTCTGCTCAGGTGGTTGTTCTACCGTCTGCGTGAGTTCCACGATCTTTACTTACACGGCCTGCTAAGCCGATTGCCGTGCGTGAATCTTGTCCCCACCCTCACCGGGGCGCTGATTCTGTTGGTTCTGATGGCAGACCTCAGCCACATGTGACAGGTGGGTATACCACAGGTGGCTGAGGCCTGCCATCGTCCGAACAGGATCACCATCTCGGGGAGGTTGGAGACAAATTCGTGTTGGGCAGTGGGCTTAGCAGGCCATGCAGTTAAGATGGTTGGGGCATACTTAGGAGAGAGGAGCCACCAGAGCAGAGAAGCGTGGTGCACGAGCACAACAAAAAAAAAGGCATTCCGGTCGCCCCGGTAGTGTAGTTAGTATCCTCGAAAATCCTCCAGCGGTCAGGGTCAGGGGTTCGAATCTCGGCGTAAGCGGGCTTTACTGGCAGAGTGAGTTTTTTCTCTCGCTTCCGTTCCTGGCCTGCGTGGAATGTGCTATTTAGTTCCGTGTGTACACAGAGGGGAGAGAGTGCTGCACTCTGGTTGCAGTAAAACTCGAAAGCAAAGTACTGCAGGAGGGGTGAGTGGGGGGAAGCCCTTGTGTGTGACCACGGGCTGGAGTAAAACGGCACAAGTGCCGTAAGCGCTGACTTGAAGAAGTGAAGAAGAAAAAAAAAAAAAGAGAGAGAACAACTGCGACACGCAAGCAAAAGAAACACATTCTCGACGACGATGACTCAACCAACTTCGACGAAGGAGCAACAAGGCACCAGAACGGCAGTGGACAGGTTAACCACAACAGCAGTGGACAAGTGTCGTCGCCAAGACTAGAAGCAAGCACTGTCAACGGGAAAACGGTACTGGTACCAGTGTTGCAGCAAGTGGGGCCGGACGTCCGAACCCTTGGAGGGGGACAAGCGTCAAATCTGCGGCGGAGTTATTGCTGTTGGCCTCACATTCCAAAAGCAGTCCCGGTATCCGCTCAGTACCATTTAATATCCGTTCTGGTCCAACTGACACGGACGCCTTCCGTGGTCACAGACTTTCGAGGCACGCCTTTCTAGAAATAAAAGAAACGAAAACTGACATGTGGGGAGTGCACTCTCAAGTCTCCCTCGCTCTTCTTTCTCACCCCAGGTCTCCGGTTGCCGCCGCGCAGTGCAGGGCTGTCCTGTGCTGATCCTCGGGGTTCGTCCATCGTGGGTCGCCCCCTACAAACAACGAACGATTCGCAGAAACGGGAAGGGAGCAAAGCAAGCGGCACACACACACACTTGAGACTGAAAGCTTTTCAATGGTTAGCTGTGTAGCCTGCCAAATAAAAAAAATAAGAACACATACATGCGCAAACAGGCACACGGAAGAGCAAGTTGCGACTGAAGTGAGGGACAACCGCACCGTATCGTTGCCAAAGCAGCACGAATCATGACGAGGACAACCAAAAACACATCAAAGAGACGCGCGACCACGTTCGCAACCCTTGCAGGAAGCAAGCGGACGTTTGTCGAAATAAAAACCGGACCAAAGACACGCACACAAACCATAGAGAGACAAGCCACCACCTTCGAAACCCTAGGGACGACAACAAGCAGGATACACACACCACAGGGCGTCTCCTCTGATGCCATCGCGGGCCAGCACCCCAACGGCTCCATCGAGAAAATGGCTTCATATTGTTCAGTTTCAGTGGTATGTTAAAAGTGCCCAAAACAAGTAGAGGCCGTAAACGCTGCTGCTGTCTGTCAGTCTGTCTCACCGTGGGCCAACGCCTCGACGGCTCCCGCCAGATCCCCCAGCGCTGCGCACTCCGACAGCCGCAACGACCACATCTCCGCCCCGCCCCCCCTCGCCGCGAAGCCGCCGCTCCCGCCCGTTGAGTCCCCGTTCACCCCGCCGCCGTCCCTGCTAGATCGCCGGCTATGGGTGCTGCTGCCACCACCGCCTCCCTCGGAGCTACTGTGGTCTCCCCCTCCCCCTCGCGTCGCGCCCCAGCCCCCGCCCGCCACAAGCCGGCTCGTGGACCCCTCTACAAAACCTTTCCAGACGTATTTGGCCTGGATGTAACTCCGCTTGAGGTCGCCGGGGGAGTTCGCCGTGGGCTTTTCCCAGCCCTCCCGTTGCTGGTCATTGAGTTGAGCGGGAGGGGAGGGGGGGGGCTTACGTACTCGTGTTTTGGATGCCTTAGACCGTTGACCACGCACCCTCGAGAGAACGGAGCATTGGACCCATCACCGATGGCCAACCGTCACTTCCTAGCCTGCCGCCAAAGGTAGCTCAAAAATGTCTTCTCTAGCAGGTGCCAAGGTGATTGTTCTGTGCTGTGTGGCGGCATGAACGTTTGTGGCGCTCGGACTGGTGGTACGCCGGTAAGTGCTTGGGTCCTCCACCACTTGGAAGTTAGACAGCACGGTGGCGTTGGCTTCTTGCTGGAGAAAACGAAGTCAGCCATTGGGGTCAACAACAACAACCACCACAACCACCACCACAAACAACATTAGACTTCACCCACCGACAGCAGCAGCAGTAATAGCAGCAACAAGAACCAACCAAGGCATATGTCTCACCGCGAGGGAGTGCTCCCAGATGGCGTTGGACCTTGCGTTCCCCACCTCTCTCAGTACGCTCAAGTCTATCTCGTCCAAAGCGTCCAGGCCAAGCGATCGCACCTTCGACACGTGCGTTCCCAATGACCGGTGGATGCCTGCCGAAAAAAAACAGAAAGGATCGCGCGACCGTCGACATGCATGATAGCAGAATCGAAGGTGCAGGAGGATAGTCAACATGAAATCCGAACCGGGAAGCTAGGAGAGCCACAGATGGGACAAAAAAACTGAGGGAATCGGGGGGCGGGCGGATAGGAAAGGAGGCTGCTGTAGAACCAGTAACTAAGTGACTATACACGTGAGGCGGAGAGGGCTTAAATTCAGTACTTACCGCTGCACTGAATGCACACGAGGACGCCAAGGTTGAGAGATACCCAGTCGGGATTGGGGGCTCCGCAGTCTGCGCACTCCGGGTTCGCCTGGTCGAGCGACAAGACCAATCCATCGCAAAAAAAGGTAGCATACACGGCCGACGGACCCACGAGCGGGAGGGGAGGGCGGGAAGACAAAAGGTCGGAAGCGGGGTGAATACACTAAAGGAATGAGTGGCAAAGGGCATCGTTCCGTGCCGCACAGCGCATTGTCTTGCATGTATGTGTAAGGAGACAGACCGCTGTTGTTCTGGACTGGTTGTGAAACCGTATTGGCCTAAGAACGCCTGCTCCTACCGTCTCACACGACCTTTGAGACGCCTAGAGGCAGGTAGATGGCAGGACCCCCAACACACGCACAGTGCAACAAAATGTCAGACTTGGAGTGAACACATACATATTTAACACATGTCCACCTTACCGCCTCTCCGCGCTGCCCCCTCACGTTCCCTTCACACTACACACCCACCCATCAACACGCCGCTACCACGTCCGTCATCGAACAAACACGTCTCTAGACCTGCAGAAAAAAACAGCCTCTATCTCTCACCTTCATGACCTCCTGCACCAGGGGGTTGTTGGGGGACCTCCCAGCGTCTCCTCCGCGTGCCCCCATTCCGCCGTTGGCGAGACTTCTGTACCCATCCTCGTCCGAGGTGTCGTCCGCGTAGCTCGTCCCGGTGCCGCTGTTGGGCCGCCCTGTTGGAGTCCCGCCGCCGCCGTCATCGCCTGGTAAAGGGGTGCTGCCGGTGAGCTGCAGGGGCAAGCGATCGCACCCATGATGACGATCCGCAGGCAAGTAGCAAGCGTTGCGAGACGATTAGGGTTCGAGGGTGACAAGACGGTTTATGGTTTGAGCTTTTCATAACGGCGTAGGGGTCCTGTCTCTGTCTCTGTCTCTGTCTCTGTCTGTCCTTGTCTCTTTCTCTGCCTCTGCCTCTCCCTGTCTCTTTCTCTCTCTCTTCGTCCATCTCTGACTGCCTATCTCCTCTCTCTCTCTATCTCTCTCTTTCTCGCGTAGTCTAACTCTCTCTCTGTCTGTCCGTCTGCCTGTCTGTCTCTTCTATATCTCTATTTCCCCACCCGTCTCTCTCCCGTACCCCTGTATCCCCCCCCCCCCCTGCCCATCAGCAAACCCGCTCCCTTCGCTCATCTCTGCACCATACCACAAACTCCCCCTCCAAACCACAGGCCGCACCTGCGATTCGATAGTTCTTCGGATGCACGTGACCCACGACGTCAGCTCCTCCGGCCCCTCTGCCTGAAGCATGTAGCTACGTCGGTTTGCCGAGAACACCTCGAAGCAGTAGAGGGCATCTGAAGAGTGTACCTCCTGTTGACACAAAGGGCGGGGTTACTCACGTTAGACCTTTTGTCCTCGCACCCCTACAACGCCAGAACGGGCCGAGATGCCAGTTTTAGGGGGTTGATTGGTCAGGCAGGTACACTGAACCGCACCTGCCTTCTTGATTCCTTACGCACGACCGAGCGGCGAGTGTAGTAAACAAGAGTGCCCGGCCAAATCCTTCGCAGAAAAGAGCACAGGCGAAATAAAAGAACAACTAGGCCAGCAAGCTCAAACCTGCCCAAACAGCAGGCATACCAATGTGGCTGAGGCCAGACGGCGTAAACGGACGTGTACCGCTGTGCTCGGCAGGGTGACAACAGCAACAACCACCTTCTGCGCGCGATAGCAGCAGCAGCGCTGAGGTACAGCTCAGACGATGATCAAATCTGCCCGGGGCTAGTCGGCCCCGTCCCCTCGCCTGCCAAAAACTCCCTAGGCCATGGACCCCCCCCCCCCCCAAGCCAACAAAAAAAACAAAAAAACCCACCTTGACAGTGCACAGCATGACGTCCCAAATGAACATCTTCTGCCTGCTCGAGTCATTCTTGAGGTAGTACAGCTTAGACCCGTCCAGCACAAACCACCGTCGATTCCAGTGCTGCCGAAAAAAGAAAACGTTTCGTCGCCAGGGCAGAGGCCGCAAGGGGGCAGGCACACGCAGGACGAACGCCGCGGAACCACCAAGGGGAACAATCGAAGGAACGGAGGAAGGAAGACGAGGGACCGTCAACAAACGCACACATAAAGAAGTAGACCTAGATGGAGCGCATGCCGCGAGCGTACGGTGGAGCCAGAGAGATAGTTTTCCTCCTGAACATAAGTAGCATAGAGTGGCGGCGGGCGCTCTCGCAAGTGCGAAGAAGGACGTGGTTGAAACGTAACACGGCCTCAGGCAACGGTGACGGCGGCACACCGTGGGCCCGGCACGGTACCGCATCAGAAAAACGAGAGAGCGGTAGCGGTGATGATACCGTATGGAAGACCTTCGAAAACGTCGCGGAACGTTGCTCGCGTATCAGCAAAAGCACAGGTAGGTCGGTAGGTCGCACTGCGCTTGTGAATAAATATGCTAAATTAAGCTGGAATCGATATTTGTTGTGGACAGAGACGAAAATTCTTCACTTTATTACGACAAAAAAAAAAAAACGGTGTATCGCGGAAGGATTGGCAACGGTTCGCACGAAAACGGTACGCGACCTCGCGAAAAACGCGCTTGCAAAATGGTCGGGAAGAGAGATCTACCTGCAGCATCTTAGACGAGCTCTTCTTGAACAGGTACCCTTCCTTCACGCAGCCGGGCGTCGCGCGTCTTGTATACACGTCTTCCATCCTCCGGATCTGAAACACACAAGCAGAGGAAACAACGACAACAGCAAGGGGGCAAAAGGCCCAAGACACCGGGGGGGGGGACAAGGCCAAAGGTCAACGGGAGTGGGAAATCAAAAACTAAATGCTTTATGCGAGGCGTGCAAGAAAGTACGAAGTAACAAATAGTCCGGGGACCAACAGGTGTGGGTAGCACGACAAACGGGAAACCTTACGACGAGATGGTTCCGAAGCCGCCGTTGTACGCACTAGTGTTGTTGCCGCAGAGTAGTCCAGCTTTGAAAACCACAACACATGCTTGTGTTTTCGGGAACCTCACGACGAGATGGTTCTGAAGCTTCCACTTCAGGCACTGTTGTTGTTGCTGCAGAGTAGTCGAGCTTCAAAAAAATTTGTTCAAAAACAACACAGGGGTGTCGTATCTTAATGCAGCCTACGGTGTCCACCATCCTCCTCAGGTTTTCGCGCTCTTCCGCACTTGTACAATTGCTATTCCCCCGCGTGCCCTCCCCCCCTCGCGCGCCCCATCTGTCGGGCCTCTTCATGCCTCTCCAAAGCGCATTTGCCTAGAATTCCTACAACCACTATCCTCCACTTGCCCACTTCCCCGCCCCCACTCCCTGCCGGGCCCCGTCTTGTCTGTTTGAAGCACGTACAGTACACCTAGACTTGTACCCTCCGCGTGCCCCCATCTTGCCTGTTCGAAGCACAGGTGCCTAGACTCCGAAGCCGCCGCCGCCTGCCGCACGGCGGCGGTGAGCTTCCCGCCCTCCAGCCCCTTCATCATCGACGTCCGCTGCAACGAGTTCGTCCGCGAGAGGGGGCTCGGTGTCGCCGTGCCCCCCCCCATCCCCGCCCCGGGGAGCGGTGATCTTCCCGTGACGTCCAGCGTCTCCTGGTAGTCATTCATTCGGGAGTCGCGGGGAGGAGCAGTATCGTGATATTCTGTTCCGAGTGTTGGACTACGGGTGGTGCCAATAGCAGCAGCGCAGCCAGTAGTCTACGCATGTGTTTCTAAGAAATCAAACATACTGGATATAACATAGAATCGACTATGCTAGGGACAGGGCCAGCTTCCCCCCTGCCTGATCTTTTTTCGTAATAAACTTGATTTCTTCGCGGAGGTAGTCCAGCGCAGCAGTAGCGGTTGATGACTACTGTGGGACCGCACGTTCAACAAACATCTACTTCCACGTCATTCGCTCGATCTGTTGTAGTGGTTCAAGAGGGAGATGAGATGATCTTAGCAGAAGTACGGCTCACGTTGGTGAGAGCGATGGCCGAGTCGAGCTTGGCCTTTTGCGCTTCCCAAGGGCCCTCCGCAGCGGCCAAGGAAGCTCGCACTCGTTCCGTCTGGTTCTCGAGGGCGCGCTGTCATCAACCACGTTGTGTCATCATAACGATAAAAAAAAGTAACAAGCACAAAGGTTGTCGTGGTCGCTGCTGCTTCACTCAAATGACAGTTATGAAGAAACGCGCACGGGATTTGACGCCATGATTGTCGTCAAGAGCAACCATACAAGCGCACAGATTGCTCTCAGCAGCAGCAGCAGCAGCAGCAGCAGCAGCAGCAGCAGCAGCAGCGAAGAAAGCAATACAAACAGGGAAAAGCTTCGTCTCAAGCGACACCCTACGATGCGCCGTGCCCCCCCCGTCTGGCCACAGTCTTTACCTTGTATGGCGTGTACGTCTCGACGAGGGACGTCGACTCCCGGAAGTAAGACCCGATCACGTTAACCGAAGAGAGCACGCAGTCAGCAACCTCCAGGTACTTCTGGTTCTCGGCCATGCTCAGCTCTCGGACCAACGCGAACCTCGCCTGTTGCGCGAAGCACGGTGACAAAACAGTCGCAGCATGAACACACAGAGAAGCACCAGAGCCAGAGAGAGAGAGAGAGAGAGAGATAGGAAGGGAAAGAGCCAGAGTATTCGTGAGAGAGTGAGAGAGACAAGAAAAAAAGTACAACGTTGTTGTGGATGTACGACGGCAAGGTGCATCGCAAGGGTGTGATCCTAAAAAAAACTTATTAAAAAAAACGGAAAGACAAAATCTAGCCAAGTGGGCTGGCGGTCGTCTTGGTACAAATGCGTATTGAGGGGGGGGGGGGTCACCTTCTGCGAGTCGTGGTGCGCCTTCGCGAGCTCCGCGGCCCGTTGGTCGATGATGTCGTCCGTGAGGTGCTTGGCCTTCATGGGTCCGTGAAGATACTTCTCCAGCGACTAACATGACACGCCACGCCAACGTATCGTATCGTATCGCGACCCGCGCGCAAAACCCATTGGCACCAAACCCGTACCGATAGGCAGCATGGCGATGGCGTAAGGCCAGGCAACAGCAGTGTCCAAAGGGCAAGCTCAGGACACACGTGTCATTTGCAGAAATGCGTGGGGAGGCGAGCGGGGCTACTGCAACGGGCTTGCGGCCGTCGTGCCGCGTGTGGGAGGAGCAAGAGGAGAGACAGCGAGCTGATGTATGTAAACGCTTAATCATCATGAGCAATGACCTACCCCAGTCTTCGACGGAATGTAGTTGTTGATGATCACCAGAAACCAGGTTATCAACCCTGCAGCCAACGAATTAAATTCTTTAAGCTAGGTAAAGACCCCCCGTCAAGGACGTGTGGTCAACGGTGTAACAGCTAAGGCATCCATTGTGAGTACGCCAACCAAACGCCTCCCTCACCGCGACAAAAACCTCCTCCGTTGCTTCCCAGGCCTTCTTGTGCTCCGCCAGCTTCCCGTGCGCCGCTCGCGTGTAAGCTTCCATGGGTTCCACGAAGCTCTTCTGGATCCCGTCCATGAACATGCTGTGCGACAAGGCCTGCTCTTTCAACAGCCGCCCGAACTGCACCTGGTTGTGGTTGAAGTCCGGGGGTTAGTGTCGGCATTAGAGACCGTGGAGTTCGGGGTGAAGGTTGCAATAGAGACTGCGGACTTTGGGGCAAAACCGTACACAATAGAGACGATGGAGTTTGGGACGAACCACTCAGTAAAGATACCGCGGATGAGACGAAGCCTTTACTAGAGACCTTGGGGTTTGGGGCGAAGCCTTTAGTAGTAGAGGCGAGGCCATGCACTTTGAGCCTGTACTGAGACCATGGGGGTTGAGGCGAAGCCTTTCTCTACATGCCTATTCCGAGCTGTACCTCGATGACAGTCAGGGGTAGGCCAGAACAAAATGTCGTGGATATAGAGTCAATGCCAACGCCGGCGTGCTTGGCGTGCGTATGTGCGCCACAGAACGCAAGAACAAGAGTCATGTCCGGTGCATAAATGGCAGCGCTTCAACACTGCTGGTGTGTGCCTGCATGGCCGTGCGGCAAAGCTGTTGCCTCCGTCCGACGAAGCAATTCTTTGTCAAAGCAAAGCCGATCCAACATTTGTGCCAATACACCAACAACATAACGATAACCCCAAGACCAACACCACCACCATCACCACCAAAACGAAACCGCCTGCAGCAACAACGAAACCCACACCACCCGAACTGGAGAACAAAAAAACACAAGCACACAGCACAGACGCAGCGGCTGCACCCCCTACAACAACAACGACAACAACGCCAAGGGCCAAAGACACGCAAAAAAACAAAACAACACCGGCAGCAATCAATCCCTAGCAGGAACCTCACGAGCAACAACAGCAAGGTAAGGCGTCTGTCTCGTCTCACCAGTACTGGAGTCAGAGTCCCAAGAAGACGCTCACGGTCCCTATCCCCCACCGCCCCTCTTGGCGCCATACCCCCCCCGTCGCTCCCCGCTCCCCAGGTCCCGCTGTCCCCTCGCGACTCGTCCGAAAACGATTCCGCTCGTGCCGGCGCGTCGAGATGATCCGCCGACCTGTGAAAAAACATTTTTTTTTAGGCAGGTTGGGGTTTATCGAAAAGTTCATGGCGGTTTCGTTGCGGGGGCGAGGTTTAAGGGTGTTTGTTCTTGTCACCGTTGGGGCCTCCTGTTCCCCTGTGGTCGACTGTTCCGTGGTGCCAGAGCGTTTCCCCTGTGGTTGATTGTCAGGGTTCAGCGCACAAGGACACGCCATGATGTGTAACGTGGAGTGTTCTCGACCGTGTGTGGCATGCTTGCGACTAGCACCGCGTGCCACCGGTCGGGGCCGAGCGAGCCGGCGGCAAGAAGATCTCGAAACGGATGAGCTCTTGGGCAAACCAACAACAGACAGGGGTGATGTTTTGCCCCAGCTCTATTATGCGACACACACACACAATCACCACCACCAATAACGACAACGACAACAACAACAACAACAACAACAACGACGACGACGACGACGACGACGACGACGACAACAACGACGTTGACGACGATGACGAACACAAGAGCGTCCAAAAACGCCGCAAGACACCAGCAGTAGGAAACAAAAGCTCACATGAGGAAAGCTCCGAGTTCCTCCGAAGCCTTCGCCATGGCCACCCCGGCCTTCCTAAAGTTCTGTGTCTCCCTAACGATGTCCCGAAGGTAGTGGGTCACCAGACCCAGTCGCTCGTGGGCGGCGTTGACAGAGTCCTGTACGTCCGGTCTGTTGGCCAGGAAGGGAATCTGGTTTTCCAGATGGGTTTCCAGTTGGCGTTAATTGTCAGGGGTAGGGGGTTGTGTTGGGGTTAGTTACGGCAAGGGAGAAGTTGACAAGGAGGAGGTGACACGGCAGCAGCAGCAGCAGCAGAAGTAGCATCTCCACGTCTTTATCTCCACACCGACATGCAAATGCCGAACGAGGAGAGTTGGGCTCGAGATTGCTCCATGCCTACAGTACATCAGCCCCGTGAACACCACCTTCCTTTGTTCAACTTGGTGCCAGGGCCGAGGGCACGAGGTATCTAAGAGCCTCCAGCCTTGGTCAACGTTCCGTCGAAAGCTTTGACAAGCGGATAAACCCCCCCATTCGGCATTAGTCTTGCTGGCTCTGAGTGAGCAGACAGTAACATTCGCGAGGATACTAAGCTTGCTTATTGTATGCATCGGCGGTACTGCGTACGGTTAGGGATAGATAGGGATGCGATAACCCCCCTGTCTACTTCACAGAATAAGAACAATAAAATCCCGTGAAAGGTGGTCCAGTAGTTCAGGTCCCGCTTTGGTACAACCCTATGTTGTTGTCGCAGACATGCGATTACGTGACAACTTCAATCCGCCCGCATCACGCAGATACAAGTAGGTGCTGCTGAGGAATGGTTTTCACCCGTCATACAGGTAGCCTTGTCCGCTTATCGGCCAGAGTGATTTGCAGTGCAAGGAACTTCTCCGTAACCATACTGTAGCATATGTGGGTCGGCGTACATATTGATTGGGAACGAGAAAGACAAAGGGAGAGAGAGAGAGAGATAGAGAGAGAGAGAGGGAGAGAGGGAGGGAGAGAGAGAGAACAAGAAGAACAAGAAAAATCAACGCTGATATTTCATCGCTTGTCTGTCCCGGACTCGTATCTGTAGATGGACATGAATCCGATGTGTTTCGAAAAACAATCCCAAAGGGTGGACGACAGGGTTGCTTATCGTATCGTACCTGTCGACTATCGGTTGGGCACACACATATCGGTTCAGAATTCGTGCCGAAGACTGCTGTTCGATGTTTCGATCCGAAACAATCGATGTGCACTTTTGAGGATACTTGTACGATGCATCACGATACAATCAAACACACGGGTCACACATGTCACTCCACAAACATCACCGCAGACCACAAGTCTTACGACAACAGGCGGTGTACCGTAAAAGAGGGGGAGATGGCACCCCCCCTTGACCGACTCTCAAAGCTCGATTGCTCCAAGACCTCGAGTTGTGAGTCTCATACATCTACGGAAAGCCCTCTCGACGATACGTTTCCAAAACCACCACATTTGCTGTTGGCACAAGCTTAGTCGTGGAGCAATCGGGCTTCGAAAATCGGTCTGGGGGGCGGTGCCATTTCTCCGCCTCCTACATACGGTATGCCTCGAGTATCCCGATCGAGAACCACGTTGCATGACGGCACTAATGTCAGCGCCGCCACAGTTAACTGGCGGTAGAAACATCACCCGCTGCTTCTAACCTCACCGACCCGCTCTTGTGAAGCCGTGTGCATATACACTCCGTCTCTAGTCTACCTGTTTTGTTCATAAGTGGTTGAATTTGTACGCTGCTGGCCTTTCGTTTCTGGAGTACTTGCATGGGCATCCATATGTGAGGTGGTTGTTTGTCTCTACAATAGACCTACCTACCTCTGCGCGACAGCTCACGTTCTATTTGGCGTTGTCGATATGCCGGGCGTGGAGTACAAACACGCCAGGCTCGACCTTTTACTACGCGAGGATTGGTCGGGATGAACCGGGATGCCCAAACACCAAAAAAATGGCTTAATGTGGAGAGTGTGCCGGAATTGGACGGCCGGTTCAGCGCGTTACACTGGCTCTCTGTTGAAGACGAACTCTTGGCCGCGGAAAATTCGACTCTGTGCCTGCCTTTTGCCCTCTAGTTCAAAACCTGCGGGATTAAGCAGGGTTGAACAATATCTATGCATAAAACGTACCATCTCTACAACGACAACAGGAATAACAAAAAAAGTCTCGCTTGGTAGATATGAACTGCTGTGCCTGTAGAATACCTGGCACGGACTCGGGCGCATGCACTACACACACCCAACAGCGAAGTTGGCAGATGACTACCCTACCTTGCTGTGGAAATGAAGACAACGTTGGTTGCAAAGGTTTCTTCGGTAATCTGCCACGTGACGCAACAAACTATGATATGCATACCAGGTTGCAAAGACCGTCTTAGAGGCCAGAGGGCTAATATAGTGCTCTAAGCGGCCGTCTTCCATCAAGTACCGAAACGCATCGACATCTCGTGGAATATCGAATGTCTTGAGACCATATCGCTCGAACCTGATTCTTGACACGAAATTCTTAATAGTACGTATGCGGTAGTCCGCGGTATGTAGATAAAGCCAGTGATGTCCATAACGGGGTACCGGTTATAGCCGGTCACAGGGTTCAGCGGTAGGTACTTTTGAAATTCCCGGTTATTCTTCAGTTCCGGGGGCCCCGTCACTGCGGGGGGGGGGGCGTACTCATTTGTTGCTTGCCGTAGTCATTTGACCATTGACCACGCGTCCCTTTCGAGACGGAGCACCGTTCCTACACCTACTAGAGACACCACCAACATTTGGGAGCTCTTTACGTTTCTGCCACAAACTCCATAAAAATTTCTTGCACATCTTATCCCCGTCCTCTAGGGCCTCTTGTGCCCACCATCTATCCCCAATTATCGCGATCGTTTTTTCGCTGTTGTCTAATTTACCAAACTTGTCCATGTCACACCCTCTCTGTCTCATTTCCTCCTCGAGATCCTCTCTTTCCTTCCTGTACAACTCACACTCCCCAACTATGTGGGGTCTACTCTCCTCCGATTTGCCACATGGACATGTGTGTCTATCCTCCTCTTCCTCTCTCCTACGGCTGGTATACCTCTTCCTCCGTTCTGGCAAGTCCAGATCGCCTACTCGAAATTGCAATTTCAGCTTTTTCGCATAGTCCATGGGGCCGTCCAAGTACTTCTTCATCCCTATCCCTTCTTTCAACTTCCCGTATATCTCCAAGTGGTCTTCGCTTCGTACCTTCTTGCGAAGGGTTGTCTCCTCCCTACTCTCTAGCATCTCCTTGACTTTCGTCTTGAACCCCCCGAACCCTTCCGTGTCCAACGTCTCCTCCTCGTCTCCTATCTCCTTCCAAACCTTCTCTACCACCTTGTCCCATCTGATTCCCTTCTTCCCTGGAGTCGCTTTTCCCCAAGCTGCCTCGTCAACCATGGCTGGTAGTCTATCGTCCGACATTCTACTTACCTTGTACTGCCACTTCAACTTCTGCATGTCTCTCTTTGTTTTAAGAGAGTACATTCCCAATTCTGCTCTCAATACAGTGTTGCTCGTTGTGCTTGAACATCCTAGTATTTTCTTGGCCGCTGCCATCTGCACCGTTTCCAGCTGCTTGACGGCCTTTTCGTTACCTTCCCATATCTCTCCTGCATACTCTAGCTTAGGTACAATCACCTTCAAGAGAATACACCTCTTAATCCTAGTGTCTAGGTGTGGGTCCGTAAGGATCTCATCCATCTTGCCTATCTGAGCTTTACCCTTCCCAATCAACTTCGCTATGTGTGCGTCCCATGAGCACTCCTTCGAAATCTCTACTCCCAGGTACGTATACTTGTCTACTACCGGTAGTTCTTCCTCCCCCCATTTCCATTTGAATTCTACGGGATTTTTCTTATCTTCGTTACAGACCACTACTGCGCATTTTCCTACGTTCGCCGACAGTCTCCATTTTCGGGTGTATCCTACCGCCGCATCTATTTGTTCTTGCAACCCTTCTGGTGTTTCGGATACCCCCACGAAATCATCTGCAAACATCAGTCCGGACACACTCTTTCCCTCTACTTGGACTCCCTGTCTTACTGCTTCAACCGCCCTTATCAAATCGTTGATGTAAATCTTAAAAAGAGTGGGTGACATCGTACAGCCCTGTGCGACTCCTTGGAGTATATCCACGTACTTCGAAATTTCCCCATCCAACATCACCGCACTTCTTGTGCATTCTGTCATCTTTTTCAACATCCTCCACATTTTCCCCCGGATGCCGATGTCCCACATCTTTTTCCACAATCCGTCACTGCGGGGGGGGGGGGGTACTCATAGTCGTGCATGCCGTAGTCTTTAGACCGTTGACCTTGCATCCCCACAAAGCCGGGACGGAGCACGCCGGGTTCTCACCGGACCAGGCTCTCACATCACCAAGCGCGAAGCGCCGTGAGTTATTCGGCGAGTGGCATGAAGGGTGCGCTGCATCCTGCTAAGGGTGTTCGGCATCTTGTGCTTACTTCCATGCGTACGGATGACAGCTGCGTATGACTTAATTTATTTTCTGGTGCTTTCACTTCCAGAGGCAGTTATAAGCACTGTGTAAGTAACTGCCTCGAGGATGCTTGACCATTTTAACACAACGTGGTGCGATCATCCCCCTTGCGCGGAGTAGGGTTTTCGACCCCGCACAACATCATCTACTCGACCACCATTATGGTTACCGTAAAAAAAAAAGTGACGGGGGGTTATTTTAACCTGCGGGCCCCCCTCGCACACAGCACAAGCACCACAGCAGCACGAACAACAGACCATTCTCTACCCACACAGCAGACCAACACAAAAACCACATGTCCTCTTCAGCATCCTCCTGATGGGGGTGTCTAGGGCCCGCACTCTCGGTTGAACCTGAAATAAATGAGAATATGTAGCCTTGTTGTATTTTCGTTTTTCTTTGTTGCTTTCCTATTTTGTCATCCCTGGAAATATGTGCGTACAAGCTTGCTTGGCCGAGAATTACACGATGAAATTCATGACAACCTTGCATTCCAACGTTGCAACTGCATTGTAATGTGGCTAGAGTAGAAAGCTGGGACGATAGACAGACAGACTGCAGCAGCAGTGACCGCAACACACAGCAGTATACAGTATATACACCACCTTGTACAGCATACAAGCGAGCTGCTTCCAAACGAAATACGTTGAATACCACCAGAGGGTATTACATACTATATACGTTGAATATCACCCCGGGGATGGGCCGTTTTCATCCCCGCCATGAGCGGTTACATCCGGTCGGTACGCCGCGCGTGTATACGCCAGAGCTGGCGAGATTCTTGCACCCTCCAGTGGCTCGGCACAGCGACCTAGGCCTACCCACTGCACAACAACCTATCTTGGGGTTAGGGTTAGGGTTAGGGTTAGGGTTTAGGGTTAGGGTTTAGGGTTTAGGGTTTAGGGGTGGGTTGGACCTAGCGAGGCCTAGCGCAGTGGTGTAGCCTTAGGGCTGGAAACCCGCCTGAAGTTTCGTGTCTACCTCCGACTACAACCCAATAATTGTTGAGCTGGCGAGTACAAGAATCTCGCCAGCTTTGGCGTATATACGCCGACCGGGTCGGTACCCTCGAAGGCTCGATTCCGGTTATTTCCGGTCGGTACCCTGCTCAAACGCGGACATGGACATCACTGGATAAAGCAGCCAAATAGTTGCGCGGACAAGTGTAAATACTTCCGGTAGCAATCGGCCGCGCCAAATAACTGCCGACGTATGCATACCTGCTGCCACAACATACACATGCCAACAAGCCTCTTTGGCCGGATATAACAAAACGCACGTGTTCCTGTGTGCGGGTTTTGTTCGTGGTTGGGATCGACCGCGGTAACGATAGGAAGACGGCGGGCAATCAAACGACACACGTGTGTACGTAGCACATCTTCCCGCGTGCAAAAATCACACCGCAGCAAACGTAGTCTACCAAACAGCACGACGAGCGTTCGAAGAAAGGGTCTGAAAAGTCGGGAAAGTCGGCAACAAAAATGCCATCCAGTGTGTACAGCAGTCTGTGTAAGAGCGGAGGGAGTGCGGAATCCCTGGAATACGTATTGTAACAGAGAGAGAGTGTGAGAGCAGGGGAGCATCGGTAGAGAAGTGGATCGGTTGCGGTCAAGAGAGAAGAGAGAGAGGTCGGCACTACTATTCACGTGTTTTGCCTCCATGACATCATCATCATCACCATCGGTCACAGCAACCGTTACCCCGCCTCCGTACAGGCCGACCACCCTCGGCCAACGGGACGGTTTCGCGAAAAGAGAGAAGGAGATGCCCTCTTGAAAACGCGCGCCCACTCGCGATACGTTGGAAATCGTGTGCCATGCGACCGGCGTGTGGTTGAGGGTCCGGAAGTTGTGGTGGTATGTACACAACGGGGTCGGAGGAGCCTCGGAATAGTTCTAGGGTCATGGACCCAACACCGATGTGCTGATGTTCTGGAGTAACAACAAATACACACAAAAGCTTTCCGTGGTGACGCCTAGTAAGGACTAGAGAGGAGGCGCTATCTCTCACAGGTTGGTGACATCGGTCGTGCCCCTTTCAAGCTTCCGCGCACTCAAAACACGCCCTCGCCCAATATGGCCGGTCGCCATTTCACCCACACCCAAAAAACACTTCTTGCTTGGAAATGGAGGCACACAGATGCCGCTCATTGTACAAACTCTGTGATTCAGGAAAAACAATTGCCCGTGCCTGCGGGGAGGAGAAAGGACAGAAACCGCCAGCTGTACCACCATTACAGGGGCGTTAACCCGTTAGTGAGTCCTCACCTCGGTCATGCTGGGCGAAGGCAGCGCCTGCGGTGCGCTGGGGTCCGTCGAAACGAACGACGTCATGCTAAAAATAATGGGCCTCGGGGAACGAGCAGCAGCAGCAGTCGCCGGCACACACACACACACACACACACACACAGCAGGAGCAGCAGCGGCTCTTCTTTAACCCTTCGCCCTTTGTAACTCCTCCCCTCTCGCGATTCCTTGTCGCTCCAGCCTCCCCGACAGCTTTCCGGGCCAACACGAAGGGGCTCCCGGTGGTAAACCGTGGGTCGGTGTACACGGGGTAGGTCTCTCTGGCTCTCTCTCGTTGATTATTGCCCTTTTCTTTTCTTGGGTAGAAGAAACGAAGAAACCACACCAGCCACTGCTACACACAGCAGGACACACCTCGGCACCCCGCCCCCCTCCCTTCACAATCTGCGTTGCCCCCAAATTTCGGCGTGGTGTGCTGCAGGCCGGTCGAGGGTCAGTGGACGACTCCGTCCGCCCGGAAAAAGCGTGTGCGTCACGGAGCTCGCTTGGATCGCGCCCTCCAGGCCCTGAACAGGTTCTCGCTAGGAGGTTCTGAGCCCTGGGATCTCGAGGCACCCGGAACTTTGATTTTTAGGGCAAACTACGCCGAGAAAGTGCGAAAAGAGCCGTCTGCGTCCATAGGCGGCGGCTGCAGGGGCAGAAAACAGGCTCGTTAGGGGAGCAGGATCGACGCGGCAGGGTGTACAGCCCAGGCCTGAAGCAAGGGTAAGACCTACCGGATCAGGGATTCATCTGCGTTCTGGGGGGAGAGGAAGCAGTGCCGGGCTATTGCAGCAGCGCCCGCGGCGGTGCGGCAATAGTGCGGGGACGGCAGCAGGTCGTGACAGAGGCTGCGGCTGACACCGACACTGACTTTTAGTGTGCGAAGGAGAGAGGGCGTGGGGAGGGAGAAGCAGCATCATGCCGTCTCAGTTCAGCTTCTCGTCGGCGCGGTTGTGCCGCGTCCAGAAGCTGCAGTTCGGGATCCTCAGCCCAGATGAAGTGGTGAGAGGAAGGAAGTACAGCAGTATAGTGCTTCTACAATACAGCAGCAGCAGTAGCACACAGGCGAGGTTTCGTCGATGGTTTATTTATCGCTACATATTGCGCGCTTTCATCTGTGATCTGCAACTTTTAAAACGCGTGTGTGCACGAAGCGTGGGCAAGTATCTACGGCTGCTGTAGCTGGGTGCCATGGAGGAGGAGCGGATGATGCGATCAGGGGATCGGGGACGTATTTGTGTTATTTTGTGGTGGTACAAGGTGGTGCTGCTGCTGTTGCTGTATGCCACTGCGGCTGGTCGCACTAGATACATATTCAAACTACTGGTATAATTAATTTGGGAACACCCAGTTGTCAAGTAGAATGCGGAGGCCGGAGTTAACCCTTGAAACGGCGGCAGACACGCATCCTCCCTGTGCCGACATTGCAAAGCCGACGGCACGCATAGGAGTGCTCATGGGCTGCGATAGTATACGATATATATACATGTGCCTGAGTAAAGGAGGCAGACGTGTGTAGCGCATGCAAGAACGGTTTGCGGTAAAAGGGGCAACGGACCCTCTCTGTACGTACCCCCCCCTCACCCGTGCACCCACACCCGTGCAGCGCCCCTGTCGCCACCACGCAGGTGGTTACTTTTCGGTGCAGTCTCAAGGCACTGCAACGGCAGTATGATACCAGTGTGTTGTGCTATCGTCGAAATCGCATGTTTGGAATTTGTTTTTGGAGGTGCTACCCGACATCATATCCGATGTATGCTGCTGTAAGCGCTGTAGCTCATCGATGCCCGACGTCGAACCTTGAGAACGTTCGTCGTCGTGTACGGCACAGATTACCTCAGTCGTCGGTATAAGCGTGCGTTTGCTTTGCTCTCCCTGCGCCGCCCTTCTGCCACGCGTGCGCAAAACTTCTCGAGTTTTTGACTACTGTTGCTCTCTGAACCCACTATGTTCGCTGTCTCTCTGCGTGTGTCTCTCTTTCTCTCTCCCTCCCTCTCTCTCCCTCCCTCCCTCTCTCTCTCTCTCTCTCTCTCTCTCTCTCTCTCTCTCTCTCTCTCTCGATACGCCTGGTCGGACGTTGGTGCATGACCGTTTGCACGAGAGCAGCGTCAGATGTCGGTGTTGCAGAAGGTGAAGGTCAACGACGTCGACATTCCGGAGGGCGTCACAAAGTACGACCTTTACAAGGTGCGAGACGTGCGATGTGCACAAGATTTCTGTCTGTCTTGTTGTTGGGCGACTGTGCCTGCTATGCCTCTCGCTGCACGTGCCTGTTTGGTGGCGCTCGGTTTTCACCCCGTGATTAAAGGCGGGGTGGAGATTGCTCCCAGCGTTCGTACTGAACGCGATCAATTCACACCACTTCGATGCGGAAAATTACTGGACCGTGGGTGCAAGTGTTTTCCAGTGAGACTTTCTACGCATGGGGCAGACCATGTTCACCGCAACGTTTTGAGTGGTATATTTTGCTAGGGGGTGCACAACTACATTGTCTTGACATCCTGTATTTTGTCTCTGTCATAAATTTTGATAATTGCTCGTTCTGTATAGAAGACTTCACTGCCCGCAATAAAACTAATCTACAATGAATGCCCTTCGCACTTGTTTATCGGAAAAACCGAACGGTCCCCTCCAAAATATTTCGGGCTTGGCCGTGCTTGTTGTGTCCCAGGATGGGAGCGCCGTATACGGGGGCGCCAACGACCCGCGCATGGGTACCCTGGATTTCAACACCCGGTGTCGCACCTGCGATTGCACCTACACCGGCATCGGAGGGAACCAGGTCAACGACTGCCCGGGGCACTTCGGGCACATGGAGGTGGGTGGGGTCACGGCGTGGCTGCTGCTGCTGCTGTTGTTGTTGTTTCTTGTACAATGGTCGTGTCTTGCCTGTTCCCCCGGTGGTGTAAGTTGTGGCAGGGTGGGTACGTGAGAAAACGCGCCTTGTCGGCATGCAGGAAGAGGTGTCATCGCCTTTACTGCTGTCTATATTACAGCTTCAGTTAGTCGGCATGCAGGAAGTGTTATTGCCTTGTTTCTGTCTACAGTATTTCAGCTTCAATTTGTTGGCATGTGGTAGGTGCTGTGGCCTTGTTTCTGTCATCATTGCAGCTTCAATTTGTCGGCATGCAGGAAGTGTTCCTTTCGCCTTGGTTCTGTCTTACTACACCGTAAACGTCTGCTCCAACGCGCGCGCGGAAACTCTCTCTCGCTTTTCACACGGGAAACCGCGATACAGCTGGCGAGGCCGGTATACCACTGCGGGTTTCTGGACGTGACGCTCAAGGTGTTGCGGAGCGTGTGCTTTCACTGCTCGCGCCTGAGGTTCGACAAGTCCGACATGAAGTACAAGCGAGCCCTGCTTATCAAGAACCCGAAGGTATTCCGTTCCTTCCCGTGTTGGCTCGTTCCGTCCCGTCCCGTTAGGTGTCGTTCGTGTAGTGGTTGCTTGCTTGCTTGCAAGAACAGCGTGTATTCCATTACGCTGGTGTTTGTGTTGATGCTTGTTCTAGGTTTTGGCTCTGCGTGTTGCTGCTGTACGCAAGCGCTTCACGTCATGTTGGGGGAAAAGTGCTGTAAGCCAGCACCCCGTCACCTTTCCGCCCTGAATCCCTTGTCGAAACGCCTACAACAGCAGCACTCGCAGGTTGTGGTCCACATCAAACACCACCGGTGCCTAGTGTGTTGCTCGGAGATCACTGGTAGAACCACAAACGACAGCTTGTACACCTCTATGGATAAGTTGCAAGTTTTTCCCGTGACTTTTGTCATCTATCTGAGATGAAATTGTAATAAGAAAGAAAACTACTTGACCAGCACCACGAACACCCAGTAATCAGACCGCGTGTTTTCCCCCCCACCACGGCGCAGACGAGGCTGAGCTACATCCACGAGCACTGCCGCAACGCGAAAAAGTGCGTCTTCGGGACGGGTGATCTGGCCGGCGGCGGGATGGACCTTGACGGCATGGGCGGGGAGAATGGGGGGGAGGGGGGGGGCGGTGGAGGGGAACACGCTTCGGGGTGCGGTGGACTGCTGGTGAGACTCAAGGCAGGGGGTCCTCGGGCTAGGAGAGGGAGTGTGGGCTCATGTGGCGGTTTGGTTGGTTTGAGGTTAGGTAGGTGGTCCAGGCGTGTGAGGGGATTGGGGGTGGTTGTGGATGCGAACGCTCTGGTTACGTGGCGAGCTGCCGTCTCTACGCTCCCCCCCCCTCTCTGTCGGTCTTCGGCGGGGAAGAAGTGTTAGGGTTCACTCAAGCAGGGGAGAGTCCGTGCGATGGGCTCTGGGGGACGAGAACTACTGTAGCTGAGTCGTTCGTGAGGGGTAGCCCCTCGCGTTTGGAGAGAAATATAGAGGGGGGTTGGATTTGGGTACCGTTGTGGCGAGAAGCGAGGCTTAGGGGAGGAGCGCACGGTCGCTTACACAATCACCTGTTCTCCGTGTGGGCACGAAGCGTCTGTGCGATACTTCTGGCTTGGAATCACTGGGATGCTTGTCGCGGGTGGTAGCGTGAGTGAGAGAGCACTGCGAATTTGCGGCGTTGAGACACGATGCCGCCCCGAGAGCAGCGCGAGGTTTGCGGCGTTTATGGCGGTGCTGTTCGTGCTACTCTGGCGCGTGCGCGTGCAGCCATGGCGCTGCACGCACGCTTCTTCTGCCTCTTGCTGGCAGACGCTGCCGGCATCGTCCTCGTTCGTCGCACGCGAACAGTGCAGTGTCGTGATTTCGCCGCGTCTCCGTCGAAGTTGTGCCGCGTCTCCGCCACGTCAAACGACGACGTCATTTGATGTACAGCAGCCGTCCCTTCTCTAATGCACCGACACTGATGACACTCCACGCTTTCATGACATGTTTTCGTTTGTCAGAAGCGTGGTGGTGCCGGTAAGAGTGTAAAAACAATCGGGGGGGGGGGAGGGGGGGCCGACATTTATAAGGACACACCTTCCCCGCCGTATGGAATAAATGTTTTCAGATATTCCATGTCTTAGCTAGGGGACTCCTGTGCCATCTACGTGGATGTGCTTCGTATTTCTGACGTTATTGCACGCCGCGCACGTTGCCCCTGCGCTCTTTGTCGGCGCCGACGGCGACCGCGGGGGACGCTGACGACGCTAACCGCACCGGCGAACAGCCCAAGTTCACGAGGCAGGGCCTGCAGGTGGAAGTCGAGTACCCGCCCGATATGGACGATGTGCCGAGGTCCGGCGACCGCCGACAATACCTCTCGGCCTCCAAGGTGTGATGGGAATCTTGACGCCGACGCTGTTCGTCGATGGTATCGGTGTCTGGCAGGCTTGTTGATGGTTGCAAGCAGTTTAGCGGGCAACTTGGAAGTGGGCGTGTCGTGACCCCGGCTGACCGGTAGACCGTGTGGGTGGTTTTAGAGCAGTTAGCAGACAAGTTCGGACGGGTCTTGTGACCCCAGACAGTGGTTGGGCTTGATGTTCTGTTTTTTTGTGGTTGATGTGGTGTGCTTTGTGCGTTGAAACAACCAGCACTGACGTATGCTGACGTGGGTGCCTTGCTTTAGCTCTGCGTCTGTCCACCTCGCTGCATGCTTTTTCCGTTGCATGCTGCTCCATGCCCCCCCTCCCTATCTCCAGTTGCACCACAGATGTTCTGATCAATGGTCTAACAACTAAGGCATGCAAAACACGCCCCCCCCCCCCCCCCCCCTCCCCCAATTTTATTTTTATTAAATTTTTAAAAATTTTCAAC